GGTTCTATGGTTATCCCCAGTTGAACATGAAGAATTTAAAGACTGGAGAAACAAAGTAGCTCATCTAAGATCCTACAGCTAATGGCAGAGCAAGAATTCAAACCAAGTTGACTGGAATCAAAAACAGATTTTCTTTACCACCACTACACTGGTCGAATCTACATGGAGATCTAACTCCCTCCCAATAGGAAGAGATATTAAATTATGATTAAGTCTGTCATCTACTGAAACCCTATTCCTAAAAGCAGGGGTGGGTTTCTGAACTGTATTTATGTTTATAAACCACATGAGTATAACCTCTGTGTTCACTGTAACGATACTGTGGCATGGCTATAAGAATGCCCATAGTTTCATACTGAATTCATTGAAACAGACTGTAACCTTTATACATAACCCCTTGATTAAGAATGTTGATGAGGAAAACCCCAAGTAAGAATCACCACTCTATTACTATAATTGTGAGCGTAGGTATGGGGAGAAGGTGGTAGGATTCCACCAGAACTATGTGACCTCGTTAAACAACCAGGATTTGAAGTGAACACCATGTTGGCTAATTTTTCTTCTGCCTTTGATCTCCAGAACAGATTCTATCATTCTGCACTTCTAGCCCCATTAAACACAGTCACACTAAGGTAACCCATACTTGATGGGTAACTTGGTTACAAAGTAGATGTCGATGCTGGACAGAGGGATAGAGCCAAGCACCATGTGTGGTGACAACCTGACAGGGGGCTTGGTTCTGTCTGGGAACTGTCTAGTCCCCACAAGAAGGGCAGTGCCAAGATGAGACCCCCAAGGATGGCCATTGAGCACTGAAGCGGAGTTCTCGTTTTCAAGTTTGCACCTCCCTCCCCCTCTGAAGATTGGCCTGCCTATCACAGGGGTTTTTGTTCGTTTTGGTTTTGGTAATAGAAGCATGTAAATTTTGAATAATTTTTGGAATGTGTAGAGGACAGTAACCTGAATTTGAATATCTGAAACTATGTTCTCTTTAAGTCCAGATGATGACAGCACAGCTCAATAAAATCCCTTCTAAACTGGGCCAGCAAGACGGGCAGGCAGTCTCCTACAGCTCTCCCAACAGTTCTAGCTATTGGAGGGCACAGCTGGGCTGGAGGAGGTGACAGGAAAAGGGGAGGGAAAGTCCGTCCTGTCAGTGACAGTACTAAACACTACCCAGGGACTAGGCCCAGGAAAGGCAGGCACTCATAAAATGTCTGAAACAAACCAACAAAATCTGTCAAACACCTCTTGAAATAAACCAATTTATATGAAACCACATTCTTTACATTTTGCCTGAATTTTAAAGTGCCACTATCTGAACTGTATCAGGAGGTATAGATGAATGTGACGCTCACTAAAGTCACCTTGATTTCAGTCATGACTCCTGACATAGAGAATGACCAGCATGTGAACATGTATAGAGATGTACACACTGTTAGGAAGATGTGGTATGTATAACAGTTTCTATAACAGCTTTTTAAAATATATTTTTATTGATTTCAGAGAGGGAGGGAGAGGGATAAAAACATCAATAATGAGAGAGAATCATGGATCAGCTGCCTCCTGCACACCCCACACTAGGGATCAAGCTTACAACTCTGGCATTTGCCCTGACCGGGAACCAAACCATGACCTCATGACCTCCTGGTTCACAGGTTAATGCTCAACCACTGAGCCACACTGGTTGAACTACAACAGTTTTTATAAAAGTTTGTATTGGATTTTATAACTTGCTACTTGTGTAACTTCTCTCATTTTTTTGTAGTAGTTCCATTGATTCTTTTGGATTTTCCAAATATACCTTTAAAAATCCACTTGCTTGCTTTCATGATATGTAAGGATGTTATTCAGCTCCTTAGTCTCCCCCCGCCCCCCCCCCCCCCGCCCCATAATTTTGTATGGGATTCAATCAGGAATTTTTCTATTGATTATTTTTAAGTAACATTAATTTTTCTGTTAAGAATAGAGGGGGGGGGCACTAGCTGGTTTGGCTCAGCAGATAGAGCATCAGCCTGCAGACTAAAGGGTGCTGGATTCAATTCCAGTCAAGAGCACATGCCTGGATGGCGGGCTTGATTCCCAGTAAGGGGCATGCAGGAGACAGCCAATCAATGATTCTCTCTCATCATTGATGTTTCTATCTCTCTCCCTCTCTCTCCCCCTCTGAAATCAATAAAAATATATTTTTAAATAGAAAAAAAGAATAGAGGGGTGTGGTCCAAATAGCTTTCCTAGTTTTAAGAAATAAACTTCTTTATTTTCATGAAGTTAAAAAAAAAGTCAATTTAGCACATACTATCTTCGCCCATCTGTTTCTCTCCAACACTTCTTTCTGGATCTTCTCTTTTCTTTGCCCCTACTGAACATACCCTCCACAGAAGTCTACTCCAGCGCTTTCTATTCAATGCAGGACTTTGTTCTAGAACAACGACCTTCAACAGGTGTGCCACAAGAATTTTTAAAATACACAATACCTGACTATTTAGTCAGGGGTACTGACCTCTTTTTCTTTAGACTGTCAAATAAAAAGAACAACAACAGCTAACACAACAACAGTCTGGTATAAATGAATCAAAAGTATACCTTTTTTATGTCAGGTTGGCAAAAAATATATTTTTGGATGTGCAGCAGAATTTTAGTAATTAGTTTATGTGTGTGCCATGAGATGAAAAATCGCTGGTCTAGGGAAGTCACAGGAGAAAGACCAGCAGACTACTCCAATACCAATAGACCACTCTATGGTCTCCTTGCACTCATCCACTCAGAGGAGCTTCAAAGTCCCCTCCCAGTTGCTGTCACTGTCCTAAGAATGGCCCACGGAGCTGCCAGAAAGCCACACTGATGGCAAGGTAGAGGTTTCCCAGCTCTGAGAGTAGTCACCTGCCCCTTGCCTTCCCTGAGTTTCTTCCCCCACTTTCAGGTACCACGCAGTTCTTAAAGCTGTTCGTCGTTTGTTCCCCTCACTCCTATTCTGAGGTTCATGGAGATACCTTCTCTGCTATACAGGGTGGGATAAAAGCAGGCTTACAGTTGTGAGCATGCAAAACAGAGAGTTCATTCTTGAATTATTAATACTTATTGCATTATTTTCCATACAAACAACTATAGACCTACTTTTGCCCCACCATGTATTTGTTGCCAATATTATCCATTGTTCTGTTTTTACTATACTAGTTGCTCTAATTAGATAAGGAGTTTCAAAACCTGTCACTGCCTAACCTCCCAGAATCCTCTCCTACTTGATCTTTCAAACTATGTTCAAGCATTACTTTAATAAAAATAAAATCTAACTTTAAAGAGAAATACAGAGAGCACCAGGCAAGTTTCAACTTTCTTTGATAAGGATTTTAATTAATTCCTTACTTAAAATATTAAAATTAAATGTTGAAACCCCATTGTTATTTATACTATGATATACTGATCTTTAAAACTACATGACCCCCCAGTATCAACAAGCATGGCCAGGCCCACATCCTGGTTTCTACATACCATTTTCCAATAAGTGGAGCCAGGGCTCTTTAGAGAAATAACTGACCTAGGTCTGGGGCTTGGAAAGTACAATATAAGCCAAGACTATCCCATAGGACCAGAAAGCAAGGAAGTACTCAAAAAATAAACAAAGGGATGAAGACATCTCAAAAGGACATGGAGCTGCCAATGGCAAGGCAGGAACAATTTGAGCAACAAAAGAAATAGCACAGCATTAGATTGTAACTAGTATTGCAGATAAAAAAATAGGACTAGCTAAATGTAAATTTCGTTTAAATAGTAAATAATTTTTAGTGTAAGTATGCCTGACTAGTATTTGAAAATGCCATTTCTATATACCATTTATAGGTTAATATAATATTAAGATAAATATAAAGTATATGTAATTCTCTTTCCATACATAGGCTTTATCATTTACAACTCCTTTCATTTCTCCTAAATGACACTAAGTCTAAAAGTTCTCCTGGAAGTCAGTAATATATTTCTGTGACCTACATGGAAGCTGCCTCGCAATCACAAGATGACGGGGCTAATTTGGGTAAAAGCAGATAATCAATTATCCTCACAAATGTTGCATGAATAACATTTATTTCAGCTTCATTCACACAAAATGTGACACAAAGTTTGTGCGGTGTCATAGAGTGTAATTAAATTGAAGTGTCAATACTCTTCTAGCAGTTGACATTTCTTGCTCTGTTTCGGCTCTCATGGAATTTAATATTTAAAATTTGTGAAATGGCATGTGTTTCTCAGCAAGATGAAGAGTCAAAATTCTCTTGGCGTTCTCCTCTTACCTTTTAAGAGCATCTATTCAAAAGGTTTTTAAATGTAAGTTAAATCTAAAAATTGCTTAACTTAAAATATAAGGATTTTTTACAATGTTAATGCGGGCTAGTCTTGGAAATATGAGTTTCAGTAGAAAAATTTTACAGTCAAAAGCAGAAATCACCTCAGATATTTATTCCTCCTTAGGTCAAAAGGCAAAACTTGATATAGTTTGAGTTTAGAACATTCTATTATAATAAAAAGATTTCTCGTTAAGAAGATTCAATGTCTAGCCCTTAAATTTTAAAATCTTTACACCGAAAACAAACTGGACTGAGACAAGTGGATAAATTTTAACATTTATTCTGAAATTACATACTTTGTGGACTTGCCAAATTCAAAACTGTACTTACTGCCCACACAGCAAAGTTCAATATCCTCTCCAAGGGTTTGACATATCAAAGGATTTTTAACTGTAAATTCTTCTAACTGAAAACAACTAGAAAAAATTATTTTTCCAAAAATAAGTTGAACCATTTCTCATTTGCTTGCTGGGTGCTTATGAATAAAGAGTCTGTGTATAGTTTGCTGGAGCACACTCTCTCCTTGCCAAGACATTAAACCCTGAGAGAGAATGCATCAAAATGCACTGATGAAGCCACCTGCGCTCTTCCAGCACAGCATGCTACTCTCCTAAGAGGGCTACTCCTTCGGTTTACCCTCTGATAAAAGACTGCACTTACCGAGCTGGGGCTGGAGTGCCGCCTAACTTTAGGAGACTCTTTGCCAGTGGAGGAGGTCTTAAAGTTAATGCAAGCATTGTTCTCCGAGTGCACTCTCTTTACTTGATTAGTCGGTTTCTCAAATGGGTCAAAAGTGCTCTGTGTCCTCTGGACCCTGACTTTCTTATCCTCAGGAATTGTGTCCAGGGGTTTGATCACTGAGTCCATTCCCTGGCAGTTCCGTGTAGACATCTTTGTGACACATATCTGGGGGAAAAAGAAAGAAGAAATTAAACCCATAACTCTCCTCTGGGACTTTAATATCAAAAATATGCTGAATTGACTTGGGATCGTGAACACACAATACAATATACAGATAATGTATTGTAGAACTATATGCCTGAAAACGATATCATTTGATTAACCAATGTCACCCCAGGAAAATCAATAAAGAAGAAAAATACGTTTTTTAAAATTTTCTTTTCAGTCTAGAAGATAAATAATCAACTAATTTTAACATAGCAGCATGGCTTTTTGCAGAAAAACATAATTTAGTAAAATGGACTATATATTTTAATTTTTGAGTAAATTATATTGACCAGGTGTGGCTGTAATACAATAGAGTTTTATCCACATGGATGACTGATTGATGGAGAACAAAATTAAAGTGTCTATAAGAATCTTAAAGCACACACACACACACACACACACACACACACACACAAACACAATGCTGGTTTGTTATTCCAAAAAGCATGCCACTTTTAATTTTGGGAGAGACCTAAAAAGGTCACAATCTAACACTACACCAGCTTAAATTACAATGTGAAAAATTCCTCATAATCACTCTGCTTATACTCAAGGCTGACAGTAGAATCTGACCCCTAAAACAGGTTTTCATAAGGCCTAGACTCTTAGTGCCCCAAGGTGGTTCTTGAACTCTGTCCCCGATTTTACTCTGACTACTAGTGGGATTATTTATGAATCATTAAGAGTTGGATAGCCCAGTCGGTGTTGCTCAGTGGCTGAGCATCAACCTATGAACCAGGAGGTCAAGGTTCGATTCAGAGCCCAGGGTTGTGGGCTCATCCACAGTAGGGGGAGTGCAGGAGGCAGCCAGTCAATAATTCTCTCTCATCATTGATGTTTCTATCCTTCTCCCCCTCTCCCTTCCTCTCTGAAATCAATAAAAACATATATTTTTAAAAAACAGTTGGATAGACTTGCCTTAATAAAAAGAAAACAACAGCTGAGCTAAATCAGATCATTATATTAACTCGTGGGTCATCATGGAAGCAGCTAACACAAGATACAGAAAAAGATCATTATGTTTTTCAAAAGTTTTATGCTTGAATATGTGTGTTTGAAATCTGCCCCCATCTTGACTTCATCTCCAAACTTGAATGGGGTATATTAAAACCTTAATATGGCTAGAGATGTTGAAAAATTAAAAATTAACATCTTTTAAATAGCAAAACTAATGGGTGAAAAGGAATAATACTGTAAAAGAAAAACACTGTCTAATACATTACAAGATTTGGCTCACATTACTCCGCCAGAGCCCTATTCCCTTCCCAATTTCTCCAACCCCTCTTTCTACACACCTCCCCCACTCTCTCATCTTATTTTAGTCTCTCTGACTTTTGCTCTTTGTTTTCAACTTTATGTTCTAACTCATTCTCCCTGTACTCTGGAGATTTAGTTGTTCTTACTCAATAACTTTATGGCCTCTAGCTTGCCTGAGAAGCTGGGTAGCTTTATTATTCTCTCTAGAGAAAACATAACTCTGAATTTGCTTTTAAAGATTTTTCTTCTTGTGAAGTTACTACATCCCTATTTTACAAGGCAGGAAAACAGAAGATAATTCAGATAATCCTATATTTGTTAAAGTAACACTATAGTGTCTGAGTAATATATATAGAATGATTTCATACGGGAATTAATGTATCCAGCTGTATGAATAGATATCGATAGATACAGATGTACGTGCAGTCAGATACAGACATAAATGTAGAACACAATGAAATATACAGAAAAAAACACCAAATTCTGTGTTATTCAGCATCAACTCTGTCGTAAGAGTATGTCTCAACTATTATGCACAAGTTGGATTCTAATTAAGTAAATGAGGACATCATATCTTTTATAGGAACAAATCAAGGATGTCCACTCTCATCACTTTGATTTAACATTGTATAAGTTCTAGACAATGCCACAAAGCAAGAAAAGGAAATAAAAAGCATTCACATTGGAAAGGAACAAATAAAACCAACTTTATTCACAGAAAACCACTATAGTCTATGTAGAAAATCCAAAGAAATCTACCAAAAAAGAGGCCACTAGAATTAATAAGTTTGTCAAGGTTGCAAGATATAAAATCAACATGCAAAAATCATTTGTATTTCTACATAGTAGCAACAATCAGAAATTTAAAATTAAAAATCAATTTATAACAGCTTCAAACAACAAAATATTTCGTGATAAATCTGACAAAATACATGCAAGATCTATAGACAGAAACTACAAAACATGGCTGAAAGAAGCAAAAATTAAAGAATAAAAAACCAAGCACAGGAACCAATTCATGGATCTTCAATTTACTGTGACACTTTCAGAAAGAAGCTAATCTCTACATTTCAGCCAGAAAATATTGTTTCTTACTTCATTTAAAAGAAGATTTACAGATGTTTATATAAAACAAATGAGATGACAGATGTGTACAGAGTGATGATATAAAAAGATATAAATGGGGATTGAATTGATACATAAATAATGGGGAAATGGTGACCATGTTTGGACTCCAACTCTATCCTTAAAAGAAGCACCAGGAAGCATAAATCCCACAAAAATATCTCTTAATTTTGCCAAGAAAAATACAGTACATTCTATTCAACCCTACATTCTACTTATTATGAGTAGAATGTCTTTGAACTATCTTAGTAAAAGAGGCTTTACTAGATAGAATACTCTTTTTTTCTATATTTATAGGAAAATATATGGGGAAATTTTTCCTAGGTACATGGGGAAAATCCTGTTTAATAATAGACAAACATGGCAATTGGCCATACCTTCGCTACGCCTTCCACTGGCTAATCAGCGCAATATGCAAATTAACCGCCAACAAAGATGGTGATTAATTTGCATATACCGGCTGTGAGCGTAGCAAGCCAGGCAGCCGAAAACAAGCCGGGAGGCGGAGGCAGGAGCGAAACAAGCTGGGTGGCAGAGGGAGGCAGGGGCAAAACAAGCCGGCGGCGGAGAGGGGAGCAAAGCCTGCCTCAGCGGGTTTCACTCCCTTCTCTGCTTCGTTCCAGCCGTAGGAAGCCCTATTCTTGCAGGAATCTTCCTGCAACGGGCCTCTAGTTTTACTATAAAACATAAAGTTGTAGTACATGTACACCAACACAGCCATAGCACAAAATATTAGCAGGGGATAAATGACAAATGTCACCAGGATTATGTTATGTGATAGAGCAAATAGATTATCCTGGGAGGGCCTGATCTAATCAGGAAAACCCTCCAAAAGCAGTGAATTTTCTCCAGCTAGTCACAGAAAAGAGAGGTGTGATCTGGCTAGCTAGTGAGAGAGCAAACATTGCATGGCACAATCTGTGGGGCAGCCTCCAAGCGCTGAGAGTGGTCACTGGCTGACAGCCAGCAGAAAAATGGGGACCACGGTAATACAACCACAAGAAAACAAGTTCTGCCAACAACTAGTGAGCATGTAAGAAAATCCTGAGCCCCAGGTGTGATCCACAACCACACCCAATACCTTGATTTCAGCCCAATAAGACTTAAGGCAGAGCAACCAGCTTATGCCATGCCTAAACTTCTAACCTTCGGAAACTGAGAGCATAACCTGGTAAGTCTGTGGTAACGTGTAACACAGCAATGGAAAACTAATACACTCACTTTACTGAAACTGCTTGAAGCACTTTGCCATTTGAGCAGAATGTTCTTAGGAACATGCTGCAGATACCACTTTCCGAATTTGATCCACTGTATCAGATCCAGGAGAAAACAAGTGATGATTCTGTGACCAGTGTCAGTAAATGCCTACCCATGGAGAGTGTTCTGCCTGGTGCACCTCCAGCAGCATGACAAAGCCCAGGAGCAAGTTCTGCACATAATTAAGTTTATACATAGTTTATGCTGGTCTCCACTTCGCTCGGGGTGTATGTGAATAATACCAGTATCGGCACCGGCTTCGTGTATGCATCTTCCTCCAGGAAAGTAATCTATACTTGAGTTTTCCACGCAGGGCGAAGTGACTATTCTGGAAAAGTTTCAAGTTTCCAATCTCTGAGACAAACAACTTAAACATGACCTGGCCGTCTCTGTTAACCACCAGCACAACCAGAAGCAGAATCCAGGCCCTTCTGAAAAAATAGGAGAAAGCGGCCTTGTGTCTGACCTCAGGAGCTTCTGGGGCAACTCACCCTGAAGACCCCAAAGAGGAAAGAGCAGGGTTTAGTCTAGAGAAGGACACAGGCAAGGTAAAAAGTAAGAATCGTACTCATTTCCCCAGAAAGCTGCCATTTCTGGCAGCTCATGGAATAAAATCATTGACCTGTTCAGGGTACCTGAGGAGAAGAGTGAGCAGACTGGAGTCCTGGCAATGAAAGAAGGTTCTAGAAACCAGATTACGCATTGGCACTACTCCCTGGTGCTCAATCTTCCTTTGAATCCTTCTATCAACCTGTCAGCAATCTGAACAAACCTCTCCCTCCCCAAATAGACTCTGTCTTTCTTCCCACAACAAAATGGTTATGGTCAGTGGCGCAGAAAGTCTTGATGACAGATAAAACCTCATACTATAAGGAAACCTGAGGGCAGAAGCATGATATGTCCAGTTGGAAAAAATTAATGGGAACCCATAACCTCAATAAGGCATATTTTTTCCAACCACCAAATAGTATAGCCTTTTGATCCACTACTAACTTTCACTTATACTCCTAGTGCCCAGATTTTGGTCTATGTTCCAATTCTCTACTATGAAAAAGGAGGACTCCTGGGAAGGTGACCTGATTCCAGTTCACAGGGCAGAATATCCAGCTGTTACCAGAAAACTGGGATCCTTTCCAAAATGCCAGGGATAATGCTAGAAGGACAAAGGAGTCTGCCTATCAGGGTTCTTACTGGTTGAACTGCGATGACGTATTTAAGCATCAAAAGGAAAATAAAGCTACAGTTAAATGAAACCAGTTGAGTTATTGAAAAACCAAGAGCCTGTTATGATTTCAAGAGAGAAAAGTTAATATAAAGGG